TTACTAGACTCTTGTTCGGACAGATTTCAGTGAGTTATTCCTAAAAATTACAGGCCTACAATATAAAATGGCAAATTTCCATGCAAAATAATATTACCGTTTTCAGCACCAAAAATCTGAAATAATCATACCGCCAGGGAGGTTAAAACCAAATCCTGGCATTCCACTATAAGTATCCTTTTGTCCCACATTGCCGATGTTGTAGCCACGCTGGAAAGTGACCTTTGGGAACCAATTTCAGTATCTCTACATGGACCTGTCTGCATGCTCTATGGAGAGTTCACAGTTCCATATAATCCGCAGGCCTTAATTCACCTTTTTTATTTTCCATTGTGATATATAGAATATTTCCATTACTTCTTATGTTTCTTTGTTACTCGTAGTTTACGCTTTTGGATGAGTTCATGTATATGTCAAAGGATATCTTGTATGGGTTTTGCTTGCAGCTCAATACATCTAGTGTAAAATAACCCTTTCTCAGTGCTGTGATATAATTTTGATTCGAGTTTCAGTATGATGATGATGTAGTGCGATGATACAGTGCAACTTGAATATTAAATTGGGACAAAATCACACTGGCGTTGCACCAAAGTAGTTCAGAAACCTTTTCCAAAATCGCACCGTGCTGAGTTGCATTGATGTGAATGGGGCACCATTGAAAACAAACTGATTTCAATTGTCATGCGAATCTATGCAACTCAAGTCACATCTGAACTCGCACTAGTGTGAACCAGGCCTTACATAGCCCATGTCATGCCTTTTTAGCATCCTGTTTTTTTTTGTTTTTTTTGTTTTCCTTCCAATTATTTCTACTGTGTGTATTGATAAGTGTTTGATCGCCATCTAGTGGCCAGTTTGCATTACTTTTATTATTCTAATCTGAAGGAGCAATGTTAAGATTGCCATACATTACACAATTTTCTTCTTCAATTTTCTTCAACTATTTAGCGCATGGGCCTGCCTGATTGCATACAAATTGAGAGTGCTTAGGATTGAACTCCTATTATATGGTTTTGGTAAATCTAAAGGAACATTGTATAATGTATGGCCAGCTTTAGAGCTGAAATGTGTATCTTTTTTGGTAAAAATGTAGAGCTATGTTAGTGTTGCACTCACAATCTGAAATCTAGACATTTGGACAATAGCGTCTACCTATTGGCTACTAAAATTCCAGTGTGTATATACCGCTATAACTTAAGCCAATTAATTTACACATATAGGGATTTTTTTTTTTTAGCAAAGACACGGAGCAGAATACATTTTGGCCTAAATTTATGATGAAATTTGATTTTTGATATTTTTTTTTACTGGGCACGATTTATGGTAAAAAGTCAAAAATATTGGGGTTTTTTTTTTGTTTTCAAAATTGTTGGATAAAAAATAGAAACCTCAGAGGCAATCAAATACCACCCAAAGAAAGCTCCATTTGTGGGAAATAAAAGACATAAGTTTTAATTTGGGTGCAGCGTTGCACGACCTTACAATTGTGGGTTAAAGTAACGCAGTGTCAAAATGCAAAAAATGGCCTGGTCAGGAAGGGGGGGGGTAAATCCTCTGGAGGGCAAGTAGTTTAACCACCTCCCGCCCGCCATATAGTCCAATGATGGGTGCAAGGTGGTTCTCTCGTTCTGATAGGATGTCATATGACGTCCTTCCATTCTCACCACGAATGCGTGGCTCAGGGAGCGCGCAACGCGGAGATCGCCGGTGCGCTGCGTCCCTTGGACACAGCGGATCACGGAAAAAGCCGAAGATGTCGGCTCGGTCATGTGATCAGCTGTGTCCAATGTGTCCAATCACAGCTGATCACATGTAAACACGGAAATGCCAGTTATCTGCATTTGTCTCCTCACGAGTTGTCACGCTGACAGAGGAGAGGAGAGCCGGTAATCGGCTTTCTGCGGAGGGGACATGTACACTAATCATCAGGGCACTGATGATCAGTGTGCCCTGATGATCAGTGTGGCCCCAGAAGTGCCACCTGTCAGTGCTCATCAGTGCCAGTGCCCATCAGTGCCACATCAATGCCACATATCAGTGCCCATCTGAGCTGCCTTTCAATGTCACCCGTCAGTGCCGCCTATCAGTGCCAGTCAGTGCTGCCTTTCAGTGCCCATCAGTGATGCCTGTCAATGCCCTTCAGTGCAACCTACCAGTGCCTCCTCATCAGTGCCACCTCACCTATCAGTGTCCATCAGTGCAACCTACCAGTGCCTCCTCATCAGTGCCCATCAGTGCAGCCTCATTAGCGCACATCAGTGAAGGAGAAAAATCACTTATTTACAAAATTGTATAACAAAAACTAAGAAAAAACGTTTTGTTTTCAAAATTTTCAGTGGTTTTTGGTTTCTGGTGCATCAGAATTAGAATTTGTGTGTCTTGACAACAAGTAATAATCTCTGTGAAATCATACACATTCATTAGAATAGCAAATAAAAAGTATATGTGCAAATGCTGAGTACTGTGAAACCATACAGATACATTAAGAGGTATGTATTTCTTTTTAAAAATAAAGATGTATGTGAGCGCTCTAAAGATCTAAACAAAGAATAGCAGCAGCTGTACACTAAGGTAACCAAATAAAACCCTTTAAAAAGGGAATATGATAAAGTGCAAGGATAATATGGTAAATGATTGATAAAACATAATATATGATAAGTAGTTCGTAAAAGTGATATAAATGTGCCAATATAGTCCTGATAGCTTTGATTGGTGGTTGTGCTTTCGTAAACAGAAGAAATGCACACTCACCAGACGCGCAGTAATTATGCGCGTTTATATAATATATCCAGGTGTCATCCAATAGGGTCATCAGGGCCAGGTCAGATGTAGAAATTGCTCCCTTTCAGGATGGATGGATCCCAGGGCTTTAAAGGGTGATCCAGGGGGGGTCCAGAGCTTCCCTTAAGGGATGGATGGGTGCAGCTCACAAGAGTTAACAGGCGGCTCCCTCTCTGGAGACTTGGGACTGGTACTGGGCGTCTAGGAGATCAGTACTCCACAAAGGAGTCAAGATAAAAAGATGCCCATAGTGTAGTATATTAATTTTATCTCTGGATGCATCTTTTTACCACTAATAAACAATCAAGTGACGGAGACCGGACTAACTGTCCACGAGTAAAGATGGCCGCCGGAGCTCCACGATGCTCCAACGGCATGACTTCAAGGCGTAATTGGCTCCTCCTTACGTGTTTCGTGCACCAGCACGTCTTCAGAGGGGACTGCCAATCCCGCCGTGTCAACTTTGCTCCCAGCACACCTCACTACCTCCTACACACAGCCGCCATCTCTTCCTCTTTTTTTTTATTAATCATACTTACCTAGGTGGATGCAGCATCTGTCCCTGATGGTTTCTAAGGGTGAGAACTCAGCAATCACATTACCGTTGTTCACTGAGTTCTCACAGCCGCTCTGAGCTCTGTGTCTCCCCCCCGCACTCACTGGAGTGCTGGGCTGAGGAGGGGAAGGGAGCGGCAGGCTCAGTGCTTCAGTGGATTGCTGAGAGGCTGAGCCAGATGCCGCTCCAGACTCTGGGGTGGATCCCGACTTTAAAGTCAGGATCTTTCCCCAGCCTGGACCGGCTAAGGACATCAGCTGACAGCAGGCTTCAGCCCACTGTCAGCTGAAAACGGGTCACAGGAATCCAGAATGCACTGCACTCCGGTCACCCACAGGAGAAGTATAGCCAAAGCTTTTTTTTTTTTTTGGCTGTACTTCTCCTTAAAGTAATAGACACTCAATATAAATCATCTATAAATCATCTACTCATGTAAAGAAATACATGAAAACCCCCTTAATGAATGATGATGAGAACTCCTCACCTGCATATGATAGCAATGAATGCAAAAATAACATACCCTAAAATAATACTAAATGGTGAAATGATGGTGGAAACCCCCAGTGAAAACAAAACCGTGAGTGTTAATGGTGTAGAGCCGTCCATATAGTCAATACAAATGCAAACGTGTGTGTATATATAGAAATGTACTAATACATATGATTGATATTGTATGATTATTACTTTAATATCTGTAGGGTGTCACAGTATCCAGCATTTATACTATGTATTTGCTATGCTGTGTATGAATCACAGAGATTACTATTTGTAGTTGAGATACAACTTACTAACACAATAATGGTGTGACCCTCTGGTGCATCAAAATTAGAACTCTTGTAATACAGCTCTTCATTCTTTCAACATATCTTCTTAATTGCACGTGGGAACATGTCAGTGACCAGCAGCAAGACTTCGGATAGCTATTGAAGTGTCTACTCCAGGGTATACAATCCATAGTAGCGTGGTGAGAAAAATATATATATATATATATATATATATATATATATATATATATATATAAATTATCGTCTTTTCAATATGTTACCAATATGCCATGTAGATAAACTTTGATAATTTCTAATAAACGACTTTATATACAATCCTGCAGAACTTGGCACTTTGGTAATGGGGAAGCATGGCATAACATGACAGCACTGGTGCTTAGAATTGCCATCCACAACCAAAACTCAGGGCATTCGATCACGAGATCACAGTTAAAATATTACTAAACCCACAACAGTACAATCAGTCTGTAGATGCAGTAAAGCATGCTTGTTATACTCACTGTGGAACCTAAGGGGTTAATCCTCCGCATTGTGTAAAATTTGCTGTTTGATCCTAACTTCTCTGATCCTCTTCTTCTTCCAGTGTCCCCCTCTGTGGAGACACTCTGCATATGCTCAGTTTGGTGTGTATTGCTAGAGAGGTGGTTTTTCTTTTTTGGGAGAGTGCATGTGATCAGCACAGGGCCAATCAGCACTGTCCAGACAGAGGTCAGGGGTTTTGCATCCTCCTGGAGCAGAAACTCCTCCTACAAGCTTTAACCAGTGCTCTGCTGAACACTGATAGAAGTCACAAGAAAGCTCTAACTGCTGATGAGAAAAGGTATTTAGCAGTTTATATTTACTAAAATAATTGCATTTCCATGTTCTGTTTACTGTAGGAGACCAGATATAGTGGATACAGGGTCCTGGGTTTAGTAACACTGTACAGTGAAGAATTAGAGTAGAGTGGCCAGTGCTGATGGGATCCTGGAGCAGTATTTTTCAAGACTAGTTTTTAAGCTCTTGTATTATCTTTGATTTATCCATCCCATTAAAGTGAAATTAAACACACCCATGCCTCTGGTGTGCTTTATAGATCTCAAATGGACTTTCATGCACTCAAATGGCTGGTCTTGTACATGCCACAGCAGGGGCGGACTGACAACTCATGGGGCCCCCGGGCAATAGAGGATTATGGGGCCCCTGTGTCCTTGCCCACACTGAAAGCACATCCAAATAAGCCTATAAAAAGGTACAAGGGGCGTTTCATGGGGCCCCCTACTGACCTCAGGCAGTGCCCAAATGGTCAGTCCGCCCCTGTGCCACAGTGTTTTGAAAAAGAACATAAGGAGGACCTTGTAAAAATTGAAGGAGGAAACCACCTTGGGTAAAAATTGAAGGAGGAAAAACCTTGTAAAAAGGAAGGAGGAAATCACCTTGGGGACAGAGACTTGACTTGAGGCCTCAGGACAACATTATCCCTGTGCAACACTAGGAAAGGCTCTTAACATGATAAGAGCACTAATTCAGAGACCAATCTTGCAAAGGTGATGGCAGCAAGGATATTTTACCTTTCAAATAAGGTTGGATAAGAAAAGATCCCTGATAGGTTGAAAGGACAGCCTTTGGGGGGCTGATAGAACTAGATTGAGATCCCACGGTGTCACCGGGGACATGGTCATAACCACAAGCTGCATAGCAGGCCAGCCAAAGAGAACGAGAAGAACCATCTGAAATTCACTCAGTGGATGGCTTCAACAACCTGCTACATTTAGCAAAAGTTATTGACTTTTATCAAAGGAGCCTGCTATAAAATGTTTCATCAGATACAACTGCCGTCTCCGTATTGTGACACAATATAAAATACAATAGCCCAACGGAGAGATTTGTCCATTCAGCTTTTGAGAGATACTGGCCAATTGGGGAACCTTGTCACTGTGAGCTCCTAATGAACACGTTCTCATTCAAACACCAACCTTACGTTTATTAGTGTGGTTGCAGCAGGGAGATTCTTTGAGGCTCCAGATTTTATAGAACACCCAGGAGACTAGAAGTTATGGCTGTTTGATTGTTTGTGGATTCCATTATTGTAGTTAAAGATGGCAGCCACCTCAGGAAAGAAGCTGCATTCACATATCTGCTTTTGTTAATATGCTGCACCTTTATTGCAGTGCAACATTTCCTATGAAATACAGTGGGGAAAAAAAGTATTTAGCCAGCCACCAATTTTTAAGTTCTCCCGCTTACAAAGATGAGAGAGGCCTGTAATTGGCATCATAGGTAGACCTCAACTATGAGAGACAAAATGAGAAAACAAATCCAGACAATCACATTGGCTGATCTGGAAAGAATTTATTTGCAAATTATGGTGGAAAATAAGTATTTGGTCACCTACAAACAAGCAAGATTTCTGGCTCCCACAGACCTGTACCTTCTTCTTTAAGAGGCTCCTCTGTTCTGCACTCATTACCTGTATCAATGGCACCTGTTTGAACTGTGTTATCAGGTGTTTATAAATACTGTCCACAACCTCAAACAGTCACACTCCAAACTCCACTATGGTGAAGACTGAAGAGCTGTTGAAGGACACCAGAAACAAAATTGTAGACCTGCAACAGGCTGGGAAGACTGAATCTGCAATAGGCAAGCAGCTTGGTGTGAACAAATCAACTGTGGGAGCAATAATTAGAAAATGGAAGACATACAAGACCACTGATAATCTCCCTCCATCTGGGGCTCCACGCAAGATCTCACCCCGTGGGGTCAAAATGATCACAAGAACGGTGAGCAAAAATCCCAGGACCACACAGGGGGGACTAGTGAATGATCTGCAGAGAGCTGGGACCAACGTAACAAAGGCTACCATCAGTAACACACTACGCCGCCAGGGACTCAGATCCTGCAGTGCCAGACGTGTCCCCCTGCTTAAGCCAGTACATGTCTGGGCCCGTCTGAAGTTTGCTAGAGAGCATTTGGATGATCCAGAAGAGGATTGGGAGAATGTCATATGGTCAGATGAAACCAAAATAGAACTGTTTGGTAGAAACACAACTCGTCATGTTTGGAGGAGAGAGAATGCTGAGTTGCATCCAAAGAACACCATACCTACTGTGAAGCATGGGGGTGGCAACATCATGCTTTCGGGCTGTTTCTCCGCAAAGGGACCAGGACGACTGATCCATGTACAGGACAGAATGAATGGGGCCATGTATCGTGAGATTTTGAGTGCAAACCTCCTTCCATCAGCAAGGGCATTGAAGATGAAACGTGGCTGGGTCTTCCAACATGACAATGATCCCAAACATACCACCCGGGCAACGAAGGAGTGGCTTCGTAAGAAGCATTTCAAGGTCCTGGAGTGGCCTAGCCAGTCTCCAGATCTCAACCCCATAGAAAACCTTTGGAGGGAGTTGAAAGTCTGTGTTGCCCAGCGACAGCCCCAAAACATCACTGCTCTAGAGGAGATCTGCATGGAGGATGGGCCAACATACCAGCAACAGTGTGTGCCAACCTTGTGAAGACTTACAGGAAACGTCTGACCTCTGTCATTGCCAACAAAGGATATATAACAAAGTATTGACATGAACTTTTGATATTCACCAAATACTTATTTTTCACCATAATTTGCAAATAAATTCTTTCCAAATCAGCCAATGTGATTGTCTGGATTTGTTTTCTCATTTTGTCTCTCATAGTTGAGGTCTACCTATGATGCCAATTACAGGCCTCTCTCATCTTTTTAAGTGGGAGAACTTAAAAATTGGTGGCTGACTGGTACTTAAACAATTACTTTGTCCACTTATTCACTTGTGTGGCTGTCGCCATTCTGAAAAGCTACATGCGTGGGATCACTTTTCAGAGGGCATTTGACAGTTGGTGAGGAGGTGATGTGTCATCTCCCCACTGCCTATTTTAACCCTCAAAATGCTGAACCACAGGGTCACAACTGTGTGCCATGTTTCACAGCGATTTTGGCAAGGATCCATTCTCTTGAATGGGTTGTGTTTGGCGGCGATGCCACTCAAAGAATTGGACATGCCTTGTCTGCAAAGCATCACGGGTGTGCTTGTGTACAGCCCTGAGCAGTTGCATGCTCTAGTTTAGATAGGTGGATGGTCGTCGGTTCAGCCACCTGCTTTTACTGCCCCCGTCTGTCCATGTGAATGATCCCTAAGGCTGAAAAGGCATACACTAATAGCAGTTCAATAAAAAATGTGAACATTTTTTGCTTTACCTACTATAATAATTCAAAACAGGTCCTTTAAACTGAGATTCAAGTTCAAATATGTAAAACAAAAAAAGCACAAAATAAACACATAACTTACAACATGGTGTCTATTAAAAACAAATTATATTTCAAAGTGAAAAATATAATAGTGCCAGACAATGCCAATCAACATCCTGCATATTATCTCTAAAAAATGTTTATTTTTGTCTATAAACAGATAAACATTATGTGAACCTGGCTTACATCACTAGATTAGAGCTTTTTTCTGTGTTCCAACATTTATATCTTTGATAATATAATTATAATAAATAAGTTTAGTTAAGACAGCCAGCTAGAAGATAAATTATGTGTATAATTGTGTATGGGAAGTGTAGTTGTTCCGACATTCAGTGGAGCCTGTACGTTCAAATGTGCAAGCAGGCTACTTCAATAGAAAGGTACGCTTTTCCCATTTCTTTCAGAGCTCACCCATACTATGGCTGAAAAATGTACTGTAAGTCCTAAAGGTTTGCCATTTCTGCTCTGAATAGAATAAAGGCGGTCATATACTAGCAGAATTTTGCTCAAAAATCTTTCTTTTACAAAAAAAAAATTCATTCTTTTGGCTAATTGTGAGTGGGGTCAAATTTGGCGTTTTTGAATTTTCTCATCGTTGTGGTGAAAAATGAAAGAAGGAAGACGGAAATGTTTTCCCAAAATTTATATTTTAAACAGTCTTTGTGGTTTTCGTTTGGGGAAGTCCATTCACTCCAAAATTGAATCACAATGATGACAAATCACGGCTTGAACTATCTTGCTTTGCAATGAATCTATCTCATATATTAGTTTCACCTTTTAAGTTGCATTATTGAAATGAACTTTTGCACCATATTCTAATTTTTTCGAGTTTCACCTGTAAGTATCCTTTCATTTATTTCTTAATAATAAGTGCCATTTAATGTCTTTCGGGTCTAGGGCTGCTACATGTGATCCACCCCGATGACATCACTGCTACAAACTCTACACTCCACCTAGTGGCTGGTAAAGTGGAGCACACTACCAGCTGATACTAGACACCATTTTTTTTTCACCTCTAACTGAGGAAGCAGCCACAAAATGGAGGGGGGGGGGGGGGGGGGGGTTGCACAGCGAATTGAGCGAGATCATGAGAGCAGGTACCGTTACTCTAAAAAAAAAAAAAAAAAAAGTATAAAAAAAAAAAAAACTTGAATGTTAGGGAAGGGAGTAGGAAGAAGATGAGCGATGCAGGAAATTTGCTTTGTGACCGATTCCCTCCCCCTTGACCTCTCCCTATAAAAGGGCTAGTTGCCTGACTGCTAGACCAATGCTTTGGCTTCAGAACTTTTTAAGTCACTGAATTCTGAGCAAGTGCAGCAATAAGGATCTCTAAGGCCCCTTTCACATGAATGGTTCCATCTGGTCTGCCTGTCAAATTTTCAGGTGGACCTAATCAGATGGTCCATTCACCCCTATTGACAGGTGGGTGTTAACAGACTTGTGTCTGACACCCGCCTACCTCCAGGTCTGATCCAGTCTGCCAAATAAAAAAACAAAGATGGTATGGGATCAGTCCTCTTCTTCTTTTTTGGGCAGATTGGATCAGAGGGCAATCAGGTGTAAACAGAGTCCATTTACACCCACCCATGGAGAAGAGCATCTATGACTTTTTCAATCTTTGTAAAAAGTGCAAGTAAGACT